CGAATGCGAGGCCGTCCTTCGAAAAATGTGTTGCACGACATTCCGATGTCTTTCGAAACTTAGAGTCAAAGACGTCGTAATGTGTAGGCGCGACTACCGTGTTCTTCGAAGGAAATATAGGCGGAAGTGGTGGATAGCAAAACTCTAGAACTTCCTTTCCTTGGTGGAACGTAGCTCGTCCATAAATCCGATAGTGGAGTTGCACCCCGTATGTTTCACATCTTGGTGTCTTATACTAGGCGTCGGCCGAAACACTTTCAAAAGATACAGCGATGACCTGGACGACGGAACGGTCGATGCTCTTCATGGTCATGACGGACGCCCACGGACAACGACCACCTACGCAATTACGTGGTCGAGCTTCGAGGACATCATGCTCGACGAGTCTGATCCCATGCCAGATCAGACGGAAACTGGTCCGAACTTCGAAATAAGAAATCGCATTCGACTTCCGTCAGTGTATGTGACAAGAAAGGACGTGTTCCACAACATTCGTAGAAGACTCGAGAAGCTTGGCGTTTGCTGCTCTTCCTACCAGGTTTTCTGCAAGATATGGAGAGACTTCTTCTGGCACGTGCGCCTCGCACGAGTGACGGACCATGCCAGATGCAATGAGTGCATTAAAAATAGCATCCTCATAGAGGGTGCTCTTCCCGAGCCCAGGAGGACACTTGTCGCCAAACAGAAAAGACACATTGCGTTACAGTCCGCACACCGGAAATTGTACAGCGTGTGGTCGGCCAAGTCTGAGTGCAACAAAACTAAAAGCCTGTGTATCATTATCGACGGTATGGATCAGGCAAAAACAACGATTCCCCATGCATCTAGAAAACGTCTCTCTCGAAAGAAATGACAAATAAGAACACAATGATGAAAACAAACCTTACTGGGATAATAGCTCACGGTAGGGCACCTTCGCTCTTAGTTCACACATGGTTCCCGTGCTTGTCGCACGGATTTAACTCTGTCATCATGTCCATCACCAAAGTCTTGTGAGATGTGCAAGCACGTGAAAGCATGCTCCCACCCCTGTTGCGGGTGCAGGCGGACAACTGTGGGGGTCATAACAAAAACAAGTACGTGTTCGCCTTCATGGCCATGCTTGTTAGGTTCTGTATCTTCGAGGTCGTAGAAATGGGATTCATAATTGTGGGCCACACACATACTGACATAGACGCAAAGTTCAGCTTATTCTCGAAAACACTATCCGGATGCGATGCTTACACCATGGACGAGCTCTTCAATATCCTGCAAGCATCATGCGAGGAGGACGTCGATTGCACTCTCCTCACTGAACTGGCTGACTGGAAAAATGCCATTGACCCGTTCCTCGATCACAAAATCAAGGGGCATGCCACGCCGCATCTCTTCAAATTCCTCATGGATGGGGACCACCCTGCAATGTTGTACAAAGAGCATTGTACCACGAAAAAGTGGGAGCCCGAGACTGGCCCTGTGTACTGGTTTAAAAGGGGTGTAAACAATGAGTGGGTGGGGCCTCTATGGGGTTTTCAGCCATTCCGCGAGTCGCCTAACCCACAGGCAGGCGATTTCGTTAACGGAATTGCGGGGGTTCGTGTTCTGCAAAAGTCATGGAAAAATTCGCGGAACGAATGAGAGACGCAAGATGAATACACAAGGGCGCTGAAATATGCACGGCTGAGGTACGGGACCGACCGTCTCCACGAATTTGAAAACATGTCGGAAGAGGACAGCGGTACGGTGCCCCGACAAAGTGCCTTCTGGCCTGCACCAATGCCTGAAAAGAAAGATGCCATGCCAGTCACTCTGCATGTTCTCGACTTGCCAACGAGGAAACCTTGCTTTGTCGGTCACAAGAAAGATGCCCCGAAACCAGAGTTCAAACCGCACAAGGTCGTAACCGTCAATAACTTCGTAGTATTCCGCATACCGGACGATTACGTTGCGAAGGGGTGCACATTCTGGATAGGATGTGTTATGGAGCGGGATGACAGTCATATCCGCGTCCAGTACTGGACACCTTGTGGAGGGGATCGCGACTTGGCGAAGCTGTATGCAGACGTGTGGGCAAAGGCATGGAAGGTCAAAATGAATCTGACGATGGTTGGCAAGACCTCGACGCTCTTGTGTGGGCATGGGCCAGCAATAAACGCTCTGAGACAGGTATGCGGATCCCTAAGCGATAGACTCTTAATGCACAGTTGTCGCAGGCCGTCCCCGACAAGATGCGTGCATCAGCGCGAGATACAATATCTGCTTAAGACACATCTGTGTAGTAGACGTGACGAGGGAAGGAGTATGAACGAGGATCATCTATTCAATCTGTGTAGTAGACGTAACGAGGGAAGGAGTATGAACGAGGATCATCTATTCAATACGAACAACATAGAACACATCGCTAATTGTTCGATTGGATTGTATTTCTCTCATTTTTTCGTTGCGTTTAGAATGTCTTCATCGTTGGAGTGGAAGCATAATGAGAAATGTGGGACGCCAGTGAAATGGGAGGACCTCCTATCATGGAAAACAAGAACGCAAATGAGGGCTTTTGGCGTGGAGGCAGTCGACCGGACGGCACGGGAGCCCTCGATTGACCTGCAGTACAACGAGGAGCGCTTACAAGTTTGCAACTTCAAAGACGGTTGAGCCAGGTGCAAACAACGAAAGGCAAGGAAGTGGCAAATGGACCAAAGCGTTTTACGGGTTGGGGTTAGTTCACATGTGGGGGGAGAATGGGCGTGACACATCAGTGACATGCGTGGCGTTTTATTCAAACGGTGGCCTGACATGGTGCGCGACACAGATTGAACGAACGAAGGTGTCATCGATGGAGCAAGAGACCTACATGCAAAGGGCGACGTTGAAGTATGTTAGACATATATGCAACAAAATCAGAGACGTAATGTTGCGCTTCATCAACGAAAGGTCGATGATCGCCGTTCATGTGGCGGCGACTTTAATCGAATTCTACAACAAAGACGAAAAAAAGCAGAAACTGAAAAAAACTAACACAATAACAAAGTTCAATATTGTTGATCATATTCAACAGTGTGAAAGTGGCAAACGGAACAACTTGCAGTCCGTCTTGCGTAGGTCTCCGCATTGACTGTCGTTCCTCAATCACACTAATCACTCTATAATGACCCGCATATGCATGAGGGGAATGACAATGACTGTCTGAACTTATGCCAGCGGTGCGTTATATTTCATACTTCATCCCCAATTGTGATGTTTATGTTTTTTTTTTTTTTTCGCCCCATACATTATGGACCCGGAATGGATGTTCAAGCACCGACGACGGGAGAATCGGGGAACGTCGATAAATTGGGCGGAGATGACATCCGAGCGACTAAAAAGGCATTGTAACGCGATCGGACTTATCACGAGGGATTTTGCCACGCAAACCCATGCAAACTCAATGACTCTTAAACTCACGGTCACAGTTCCTTACTTCGTCTGCGCTTGTAATGTCTATGTTTTTTTTTTTTTTTTTTTTTTTTTCCATGTAGTATGGACCCTGAATGGATGCAGAGGCAAATAAGACAAGATTGGTGGGGAGCGCCAATCAAATGGGCGGAATTGACATCAGATCGGGTGAGGAGACATTGTAACGCCGTCGGACTTATCACATTGAATTTTGCATATTATGAACCGTTACTGCACTTGTATCCTCTAAGTGCAAGAAGAAAGATGTACAACCTCGTGGGGGTGTGTGACCGTCGGAATAATAATTACAAGAAGGACGGGAACGCAGCATACAAGGAGGTCTTTTACGGTTACGGTCTTGTGGATGTCAGGGTGACAGAGAAGTGCAGCGCCACCATCAGTGCCTGCCCCGTGAACGTGACCGGCACCAGTCACCAACCCGTGACCAGCCGTTCACCGGGCCTAAATCCCGTGAACGGCCGTTCACGGGGGCCGTTCACGGGGTTTACGCCCGCGGGGGCGGCGGTTTTGTCGGGATGAGGGCGGGAGGGGGGTGGTGCAGTGCCCTTCTACACCCCCGTACCTTCAAATCACAAAAAAA